TACCATATATTATATATATATATATATAATATATATATATATATATTATATATAATAACATAGCCTGGAGAAATAGACCAGTTTTAGCTTTATCTAAATTATTATCAAAATATTGTTAATATAAATAATTTATTTGTTATATACACATCTTATATTGATTGGAAGACAATGACTTTTTGTATAATAATATATGATAATTGGTCCTGACGCTTGGATTCCGCCGGACACTACCCGACGCGGAGTTCTGTCAGACAACTGACGCCCGGATGTTTCGCGGACCACCACTTGACGTTGGAGTTCCACCCGAAGCATCGCTTGACGTTTTGACTCACTACATGAAATTCAATCAAATTACTGATGCGTCTTGACCGGCAGGTTTTCTAGCTGCCGGTATTAACAGCAATTTAACTGGCGGTCATGGTTTTTTACCGCGGTCTAAAGCCGATGTTATGTTAAATCAGCTGCCGGAAAAAAGCGGCAGTCCAGAGAACCGCGAATTAACGGCCGGCCATTTATCTACTTGGCCGGTTATCGGCGGCTTGAACCATTTCGTGTTAGTAAAATTTATTTCTGGAGGTCTAACCGCCGGATAAGCCGCCAAAAATGCCCCTAAACAATCTGTCCCGACCTTCCATTTCATTTCATTGCCTGCCCTCTCTCTTCTCTCCTCTCTCTCATCTCCTCTCTCTCTCTCTCTCTCTACTCTCTCTCGTCTCTCTCCCTCTCTCTCTCTCTCTCTCTCATCCTCTCTCTCCTCTCTCTCTCCTCTCCTCTCTCCTGCCGGCGCTCCACTCCGGTCTCCTCCGCCTCTCGCGATCGAGGACGCCTCCTCCGGCCGCCGACGAGCTCCCTCGGGCCGCCGAAAAGTTCCTTCCAAACAAAAATCTCGCCTCCACTCCAGCCGCCGAAGGCTCTCCCCGCTCCCGTCGCTCGGCCTTCCAGAGGTTTGCATTTTATTTATTTTTTTGATGCCACTTGTTGCTATTTTGGTTAGATTACATCAGATCAAGTCTTAAGCCAATTATTTATGCTTTAGTCATGCGATGTTCTCACTAGACATTTGTGATAAGATGTACCTTTGTATGCTTTTTTGTTGATGAATATTCTTCTTGTTGATAAAGATAGAGAGGGAGTTTGATAGTAAACTTGGAAATTATGGGGTAACCATTAGAGTCCTAAAGGTTTTCACTGAGTAGATCTAAAACTAAAAATATGAAGTGTTTAATTTTATTAGTAATAAGACCTCAGTGAGGGGTTTGGTGACTTTGGGCGTTTATCAAGTCATTAATAAAAGTACATATTTTTTATATTTCTGGATCTATCTTGTTCAAGAGTGATGGTGAAATAGAAGGGGATATTACCGCACAATTCCAAGTTGAATGGTTGAAATGCGAGGAATGATGCGGGCTTGTTGTATGTGATAGAAAAGTCCCCCTCAAACTTAAGGGAAAAAATTCTAAAAATGGTGGTGAGATCGCAATACTTTATAGGTGCGCCGAATCTTGGTCATTAAAAAGAGAAGCATATACTAAGTTAAGTGTTTGCATGAGGATGAGTGTTTGCTTTCATGGTGGATGAGTGGCTTTTACCCCTAGAGATAGCGATACAAAATGAGACATGGATGTTCCACTAGACATTTGGCGATATGGATGTACCTGTTGTATTCTTTTTGTTGATGATATTCTTCTTGTTTTGATAAGATTAGATATGGAGTTGATGGTAAACTTGAGATTTGGAGGCCAGCCATAGAGGCTAAGATTTCGGCTTGAGTAGATCTAATAACTATATATATGAGAATGTAATTTTAGTAGTTAATTAGACTCAGTGAGGGGTTTTGTGACTTTTGGAAATCAAAGTCATTAATAAAAGTACACGCGTTTTAAGATATCTTTGGATCTATTATTCAGAGTGATAGTGAAATAGAAGGGAAATATTATCAACACATTCAAGTTGGATGGTTTAAAAATGGAGGCATGAATCAGGCTTGTTGTGTGATAGAAAAGTCCTCAAACTTAAGGGAAAATCTTATCAAGATTGGGGTGAGATCTGCATATGCTTATGGTGCTGAACTTGGTCATTAAAAGAGAAACATTAATACTAAGTTAAGTGTTGCATAAATATGAGGGTTAGTACTCTTTTTTGTTTGATGAACTTATGATGAACGTTATTGTAAAGCTTATTTGATTATGAACTTATTTTGATTCACTTTTGAACTGTAGTTAGTAGAACTTATTGCGTTGAAACTTATGACTTAGTTATTGAAATTATTTTGGTTTCACTTATTAATTTTATTTAATGAATACAATTATGATAATTATTGTGATGTATAGTGGCCTGTTACCCAAAAATTGTGAACCATTGTTGTATTTTCAATACATGTTTTAGAGTTTAGGGTGGAAAATCCGCTCAATAGGAGGGGAGGCTGTCAAAATTTTTTTTTTCAAATGCTACAGTTTTTCCGGTGCCAAACTTCGACTACCATACAATCGGCAATTAAAGCCCCCCCCACCAAAAACTTTCTAAAATCGTCCTGTCAATACCGGCAGTTTTTCCGCTGTGTCCGGCGGTACATCGGTCGCATGCTCCGGCGGTCTCCTTCCCGCTGCAATGTTCGGCGTGTTAACCCCACCGGGTAACTGCCGGTGATAGTTTACAGCGGCCCTTACCGGCCGGTTCCTATTTTGTAATAAACGATGATGTTTATACCGCGGTGACAGGCCAGGTACCAGTCGTCGGTAATAAAACCAGCGGTCACCGGCGCTTTTAGACCATAATAAGCTTACTGGCGGTTAGTAACTCGTCGGACAACCGCCGGTGACAAAACCCGCTGAAGAAAACAACCGCCGAAAAGATTTAAGTGCTGGTTTTTTTTTCTCCAAGTGACGCCGGACCTTTCATCCTCATTTGTTATAGACTACAAACCTATGGTTGACATTTTAATTATGGTCGCCCTCAACGACATGAGTCAGCCCACTATACTCAACTCAAATTCTAGTGAATCATTTTTCAATTGGCTAGGCCCCGTAAGTTTCCCCTTACATGAATTTTTCCACGAAAAAAAATTCTTGTGTTCTCTATGTGTGAGCCATATACCATATAATGCTAAGACATAGAACTATACTATATAATATATATAATATTTACAGAAAGAATCTATATCTTATGTTTTATTGCAATTATGTTTATGTTTTTTTTATTTTTTATTTTTGATCAAAATTTATATTTTTATTAATGAAAAATGAGGAAATTTGTATAGTAAATTTTTCATTACGTTAACTTTTTAATTTATATATATGAGATATAATTATAAATATTTGAGTATTTTATTTTATATTTTTGTTCGTTGATTTTGAAAAACAATATTTTTTTGTCGATTGTAGAAATTTATTTGATATCTAAAATAATAATTTTAGTTCAAATTTCAAAATATTATTACATAAAATACTTCGATAATTTGGTTTAATTTTTCTAAAAATTTGAATTTTTTGCTTCAGTAGAACTTTTTCGTTGATTGCCATCAGGTCATTTTGACATTTTTTTTCAATTAGGCTTAATTATACTTTATTTACTACAATGTATTGAAAAGGAGTTGAATATGTAGTATGAGCATAACTTGTCACCTATAAATAGATAGTACTGTGAATAAAATATGTGTGTGGGAAAAATAAGAAAAAATTAGTTATCACTAATGCATTGCTCCGGAGACTGACTGACATGTACATGATAGTCGCAATGAACGTTTTTTATAAATTGGGATTTGGTTGTTATCCTCTAGTGATCATGATACATTTGATTAGGGGTTACAAAGGAGATTGATTACTGTAACAACAGGCAAAGTGACGACTCAATTTTTGAGTCAATAATTTACTGATATTTAAATGATCTAAAAAATATCGTGATATGCTAGAATTTTTACTTGTTTAGTGGTGCTACTAAAATGATGTTATTGAGAATATTGTTTTAATATTATACGAAATTTATTATTAATATTATTACTTGATTTATTAGTAAAAAAAATATAAATATATAACATTGGCATAGTGAATATACATGATATATGATAATATGATTAAAGCATTCTTTGATTTAATTTTGTTAAATAAATAATTGGACATTATGTGTAACACTCAATATATGATTTACTATACTGATTTAATTTTGATAATATTATTGATTATTTCTTTATATTTATTGATTATTTGATTTTATCATTTTATATCAAATTTTTTCTGATTATAGTATTTGATATGACAATTGTTAGTGATTTGATATATGTTAGACATTATTGTTTATTTTGTTACCATCTTCATTATAAATTTTTAACTTTAATTTTTTTGGGTAAACTTTTAATCAATAATCATAATGAATGTAACTCTTATATAACTATATACTATATATATATATAAATATTTATATATAGTATATAATATTATATATATAATATTTAATATATATATATATATATATATATATATATATATATTAATATTTATATAATATACTCCTTTGCCTTGTGTTCGAGTTTTAGTTGTAAAGATTTGGTGACTGGGGGGCTTTTATCTCATTATATGTGATTAAAATAGTTTTTAGGTTATGAGTAAGGATTTAAGTGTGTGAGATTTGAATTTCATATCAGTATTCCTCAAGTTCTATTTTATATTTATTCTTATACTAAGGATAATGTAAGTGGTAAATGATTGTATAAAATAATGATTGCGTATATAATTTATTTTTTAAGAAATGAAGGTATTATGATATTTTTTCAATAGTTTTATTTCAATTGGACAATTTAGATTGATAAAAATAAATACTATAAATTGTATAAATTAGAAGATAAAATTAATATGTTGCGTCCTGGAGTATTCGCGGCGGTAGAGAATATTTAGTTAACGTCCTTAGCATTTAGCGAAGGATCCACACACAAGGCGATAAGTGAGAGGTTGTGTGCATTATAAGAGACACGACCAGAAGTTTTTTATGTGAGAAACCCTGAAAAGGGGGAAAAACCACGGGGCCTGGCGCAGTTTGAATGAATCCACTAGTATTTGTAGTCGATTACAAATGAGGTACTTTCCTTGGGAGAAGGCCCTTGGATTAGATGTAGAAAGGTACATCATTAGATTGCATTAATTGTAGGTAATTACCATAGGTGTTGACCTCTTTTCTGCATCGGTCACTCTCACTATCTTGATCTTAGCATTTGTAGATTGAGCGCACCTTTCTTGTGTTGGCATCACTTGTGTTTGTGATGAAAGTGTCAACTTGTGGTATTTTGCAATCGGGCTCGTCGTCGACCTTAGGATTTTACTCCTTTGATCACTGTTGTCCCCCCTTATCATGTTTTCAAAAAACATACTGTGGTCGGGTTGATGATGATCGACGTGATTTCACCCGCATTTGGGCCTTATCTTGCTTGTTCAATCCATGTGCATATATTTTGATCGGAACATTATTTTTGTGAAACGGTCGCAACGAGTTGCATTTTGCTCATTGAGAACGGATCCAAACGGAGGCCCATTCGCGCTGAATCAAAACTCCGATTTAACGCTATGGTCAAAAAAAAAATGAAATGATATTGTTGTTTTTTTTTATT